TATCGTTTCCACACCACCTTGCGGTAGACAGCACGGCGTCGATCGTATTATTTGTTTAAAAAGGGCGCGAATTTTAAGAAATTAATAATACCTTCACAGAAGTAGATGCGATGTTCTTCATCTCCTGGATAGAGTTCCTGCACTCGCTGGTAATGATACGGATGCAATCCGTTGCGACGTAAAACATGGTGCACCGTGCATCGCGAGAGATCGAGTGCACGAGCTACTCGACGCACACTGTTTCCCGGATTCTCCTCAAATGTACGCAGGAGCAATCAATGTCCGCGCGAGCCTTCGTTCTCGGCGCGAGCCACTGAATTTCGCTTTAATGAATTGGCGTAGAATGGGCGGCTGTGGGTGGAATAAATGGAGACACGCGTTCAGCACGCGGTGTATCGATGGCTCATTCATGTATGAGTGAAAACAGGATGTTTACGCCCCGTGCCGCGGTTCCTTGCGCGCCCGCAACTTTGAGAAAGAATGAAATCTTTCAGCTGACCTGGAAGCATATTTTACGCTCGTGCGTGAACATACCGCCCGCCTTGCACTGACTAGGGTGCAAAACTAACAACCGAAAACATAGAATTCCTTACAAACAAGTAGTTACATGGATGGTTACGCCTTGTATAATGGAGGCTTATTAGCGATGTGGGCTCGCCTCGGCGGTCAGGCGGTTAGACGCTTACCGAATAATGCGTGACATAATATATCGCATAATACAAGAGCTTGGTCAGGGCGCAAACGTTCCGGCGTCGCAGTGGATGGGCAGGCGGCAGACCTGGGTCACTGGCCGTTGGAGCGTGCTAGTGGTGGTTCGGACGGTGACGACCCGAGTCAGGCCATCACGGCCCGGGTGCACCTCCGTAACCCGCGCTAAATCCCACTTCGTGGGAGGAAGCAAATTATTTTTAACAGAACCAGATCGTTTTCCTGGAGATTAATTTTGGCTTCCGGCCATTTGTGTCACTGTTGAAGCGAGTGTAGGTAGTCGTGAGACCAGCGACGCCAAATCTGCTCCTGCATTCGGGTTATAAGTTGCCATCGCGACAACCGATTGAGTTTCTCGTAGGTGACGGATGGTTCCGGCGCGCACACGAGGA